CCGCCTCGTGTCCAGTCTTCGCGGACATGTCCCTCGTCGCTGCTGAGGACGAGGTTGCCGTGGGTTTTTGTAGCTGCTCTTTGCTGCGTGGAGGAAGTTTGCGCCTCATCTCCTGAGTTAGCTTTGTGGATGGAGGTTGAATTTTGCCACATGTGCTTTTCTTCAGCTGATGAAATACCAGATGTTTTGCTCCTGCTGACTGAGGAGCTGCATTGGTGGTTTGGACTGTGAAATGAACTGTGACTAAGGTCATGGTGTGCTGTCTCACATGTGGCCAGTGCTTTGCTTGCCTGCTGCCCATGCCACACTGTTATTTTTGGTGTCTGCAGGCCACGTGGCGATGTCCCTGTCACATGGACAGTGGGAACCTGCTCCTCACTGATCAGTCCAGCTGGAGGTTCATCGGCTTTGCTGGCCATTTCGAAGAGCCAGCTATGGGGTCGGGCAGGCCCCACGGGCAGTGCGGGGGCCAGTGGAGGGGGAGGGGCCACATGCTCTGACTTCTGGCTTGGAGGGCCACTCTGGTGGCAAGGGGAGTGGGGTCTGGGCAGGGGTGGGGACCTGTGGGGGTGGCAGCAGGCGGTCTGGGTTTCCACGTGGAACGGATGTGGGCGAAGGAGAGGGGTCTGGGGACTCCACGGTCATTGGCCTGAGTGAGTGGAAAGGGGTCATCTGCCCACCAGGTGAGATGCGGGCTGTGGGCAGGTCCATCAGGCAGAGCCACGCCCACGTCCTCAGCACCGAGCAGGGGCAGGGGAGAGAAACCAGGCGTGGGAGGGCGGGTGGCTCTTTCTAGGAATTTCGCTGTAAACGGGGAGCCAAGCGCAGCAGGCCGAGGAGGAGCCGGACAAAGGCAGGGTTCTGTCCGGGCGGCAGGAGCAGCGTGATCTGTGCCGCAGGAGACGGAGCCGGCGCAGGCCTGGGCCGGGCACTCAGGGACAGCCGGTGCGGCAGGCACGGGCGCGCTTCCTGCTCCACGGAGACGAGCTCCAGACCATGAGAGCCACCCGCTCCCAATGTGCAGCTCAGTGTTTGAGCGTGTGACAAGCTGGTGCCACCACCACCTCTAACTCTCGGGCATGTTTGTCACCCCCAAAGGAACCCTGCGCCCATTGGCGGTCACTCACCACCACCCGCCCAGACCCACGAGTCTGCCTCCGGCATCCGCGGCCGTGCCTTTGCGGGCATTTCGTGGACGTGCAGTCGCCACGCTCGGCCCCTTCTTCCTGCTGCTGCGCGCGTCTGAGCGTTTTCGAGGTTCCCCTGTCGTAGTGTGTCAGGGCCTCGCTCCTGTTTAGGGCTGAGAGACAGACACACTCTGTTCTCCGTCTATCATCTGTTGGCGAAGCGGATACTTGGGCTGTTTGCACCCTGGCCATTAAGAGCAGCGCTGCCGAGGATGTGCACGTCCTCGCTTTCGGGTGGCCTGTGTCCTTAGCGCTTTCACACGATTCTGCCGCCACCCCAGGTCCCAGAAAGCATCCAACCCTCTTCTTGAGCTCGTCTGTGCTGGTGCTATGATGGGCACTGGAGACCTCTGGAGCCCAAAGCACCAGGGGCCTGGTGTACCCGGGGATCCAGCAGGCCTTCCTGAGGAAAGACACAGACAGAATCTGCAGGACAGGTTCACCGAGGCCAGGGACGACGCTGGCTGGGGGTGCACAGCACGTGCGAAGGCTTGAGACCACGTGCAGAGCATGAACAGAGGGCAGAGTTGGAGCTCCAAGTGGGGGTGAGGCCAGCCACCATGTCCTCCGAGAAGATCCCTTGGTCCCTCGGGGGTGTGTGCAAGGCCTGAGAGGGGAGGGCCGAGCATCTTGCGAGGGCCTGGCTGTGAGTGGTGTGACAGTGACTCCCAGGGTCCTCTGGGCTGCTGGCCTGGAGCCCTAGAGAGAAGGAGAAGGTCACGGCCAGTTTGGGGCACCTGGGGAACACCTGGCTGCACATGTCCAGGGCTAAACCGCAGGCCTGGGCGCCCAGATCCCGGGCTGCCCACACCCGTCAGCCTCCTCCAGCCTCCCAGGACAGGGGGCGGGGGGAGTGGGGTGGGGGTGGCGTCGCCAGCACGGAAGCTGGTGACCGAAGTCACACCCTTGGCTGCGTTTGTGTCTTTGCACAGTGCCTGGTTTCCTGAGTGGAGGCTTCTCAGATAAAGCGATCAGGTGCCACGCAGGTTGACACACAGCACAGAGAGGAACGTGCAGTCTCATGTGACAAGTGGAGGGGTGAAAGTCCCTAGTGTCTCCAAAAGGAGCCACCGATAGGTGGTGGTGGGGACTGTGCACAGGCCCCGAGCCAGCGGCTATGACGGGTCAGGTGGTGAGTGCTGGGCTCCAGCCCTCCCTGAGGCTCTGTGTCAGGCTCAGCGCCATCTGACCGAGGTGCTCAGCGCACACGGACCTTGCAGGCAGGGAGCCTTGTGCCTATCGGCTCCTGCAGGTGGGGGCTGACTCTGCGGTTTGGGGCGTTCCGTCACACTCTAAGGGCGGTTCCGTCACACTCTAAGGGCGGTCCCCTGGTGTGCAAGTTGACATTACCGCTTGGCTCCCCTGGAACCCACTTTGCGAAGTCCACAAAGTCTTCCTGTCTTTATGCTCTACACAGGTGGGCTCTGAGACCTGGCCAGGCCACTGAGCAGGGGTGAGGGCTGTCCAGGCCAATGGAGAAGGCTCCCCGACCTGACGTTTGACCAGAGGAAGCTGGGCCAGGGCAGGGATACCTGTAATGACAGCGTGGGAAACGCTGAGGGAACGGGGGTCCCCGCGGGAAGACGATGATGGGAGGAGGGTGCGGGGCCCTCCGCCCTCCTCTCCAGGCCGCCTCCCAAGCCGCCCATCTCACTCCGTGGAACCCCCCAGGCGGCCCAGGCCGCCGCCCCAGGTCCTGGGGACCCCGGACAGCGCCCAGCGCTCTTGGGGACACCGCCCGTTCCTCTTCCCCCGGGGACACCGCCCCTCTTCCCGGGACTTCTCTTCCTCCCTCTTGGGGACACCGCCCGTTCCTCTTCCCCCGGGGACACCGCCCCTCTTCCCGGGACTTCTCTTCCTCCCTCTTGGGGACACCGCCCGTTCCTCTTCCCCCGGGGACACCGCCCCTCTTCCCGGGACTTCTCTTCCTCCCTCTTGGGGACACCGCCCGTTCCTCTTCCCCCGGGGACACCGCCCCTCTTCCCGGGACTTCTCGTCCCCCCTCCCGGGGACACCGCCCCTCTTCCCGGTACTTCTCGTCCCCCCTCCCGCGGACACCGCCCGCTCCTCTTCTCCCGGGGACACCGCCCGTCTTCCCGGGACTTCTCGTCCCCCCTCCCGGGGACACCGCCCCTCTTCCCGGGACTTCTCGTCCTCCCTCTTGGGGACACCGCCCGCTCCTCTCTTCCCCAGGACGCGGCGCCCCGTCCTTCCGGGGACATCCCCTCTCTGCCCCTCAGGACAGCGTCTCCCGGGCCGCCACCCCCCGCCGCTCTTTCCTGGGACTCCGCCTCCTCCCCGGGACGCCCCTACTCCCCGTGTCCGCCTGTCCGCTGGCCCCTCTTTCCACCGAGTACAGCTGAGCCCGGCGGCCAGCCAGGCGTGCACGCTGTCCTTCCGCCCTCTTGTAGAGTGGCCCGTCCCTTGCCTTCCCATGTTCCTGCCTGTGCCGCCGCGGCCGCCCGGTCACCCTGCCCCTGCTAGCTCTGCACCTGGCCTCCAGGTGGCTCCCCAGGCCCACATCGGGTCTCCTCAGAAGAGCCAGCAGCAGCTCACTCTCGTGATCTCCAGAGGCTGAGCCTTGTGGATTTCTAAGGAATAGTATTGGCCATGGGAAAAATATCACAGTCACATTTGGGAAAAGCTCTCTTAAACGTAGACAGTTTCCCTTAACATGGGTGTCGCTAAAGGCAGCCATCACTGCAGCGTCTCCTGTGATTGCAGAGCTGCCGTTAACATTTGCTTGTTGCATTTTTTCCCTATGCTCGCTGAAAAGGCCTGTCAGCCTCGCCGGGCCGCTCACCTTGAATTGTTACATTTCAGTGTCCAGGGGGTCATTTCACAGGGGCTGGGGCACGACGACCCAGCCTCACCCCCCACCCCGTGCCCAGCATACAGTGGAGCTCAGTAAATGTTTGTTAAGAGAACCGAGAACTGTGAAGTCCTAGGCGGTCGCTTAGCGTCGGCATTCGTGTTTCTAGGTATGGATCAAAGGCTTTTAGAGTTGGTGGAGGACCTCACAACTTCTGGGGAACCCCAGCTGAACCCTGAGAAAATGAAAGAGCTGAAGAAAATTTGCAAGTATGTCTTAAGGTTCAGCATTTCATGGTGACTGGCTGGCCCAGCTGGGCTACAACATCCCCGGGAGGCTGTGGGCCCTCCCCTGGGGCCAGGCCCCCACAGGAGCCTACAGGACGTTCCCCCGCACCCTGCAGTGCCCAACCTGGGCGGTGCTTGTGTTCTGGGGCAGTGGTCCCAGGGTGGAGGTGGAGGGGCACGTGGGGTCTGTGGTCGTGTCTCTGTTCACAGCTCTGTGTATGTGACAGGGCATGTCCCTCAAGTGCACACGAGTGATTTAGAGATGAGTTTACATCCTTTGATTTACAGTTAGGATACGCAGCAGGAAGTAAGTTAGATGCCAGAGGTGGGCGGACTGCCCCTTGGCCTGGCAGGACCTAAATGTCTGCTGACCCGGGGCTCTCAGACCCGGGGGCCATAAGTCGAGCTTTACGAGCATCGAGCATCCTTATCCTGAGTTTACAAAAAAGTAGAACTCAAGGGGTTGCTCACTGAGTGATGAAGGGCTCACATTTCAGCTAAAAAACTTCGGCTCAGATCAGGTTTCGCTGTAGCCCAGGAAGCCCCAAAACAGCAGTGCTCACAGCGTGGGGTGGTGCTTCAGTCGTGGCTGCAGCCACGCAGCTGAGGAAAGTGACGGGGACACGGACGGACGGGCATGGCCACGTCCCAGTGGGGCTGTGGACACTGACTCTGAAATCTCGTAGTTTCCGTACATCGCGAAGTATTCTTTGGTTTGTTTCAGCGTTTTAAAAACAACCGTCCTTGGGTTGAGGGTTTTACAGAAACAGTCAGGATTCAGCCAAGGGCAGTGGTTTGTCCACCCTGCTCTGGCGGGGGGCGGGAGAAGGCGCACATCTCTGCCACTCGTGAACACTGTCCCCATGCAGAGCGCTTAACTGACATGTCCACAAGTGTTGGGCGCTTGCTGAGGACAGCTGGTGTCCCCAGGTCTTCGGAGGAGCGGCTGAGCCACGCCTACCACCTGCTGATGACGCAGCTGCGCCAGGAGCACGCGGAGATCCGCCTCTCCGCCTTCCAGGTGGTGGACGAGCTCTTCGTCCGCTCGCAGCACTTCAGGACACTGGTCGTTTCCGACTTCCAGGCGTTCCTGGAGCTCACGTTGGGCACTGACCACAAGCAGCCGCTGCCGCCCCCCAAGGAGGTGGCCCGGAGGCTGCGGCAGGCTGCGGCCCGGGCCGTGCAGGGGTGGAGCGAGAAGTTCGGCGCAGCCTACAAGAAGCTCGCCTTGGGCCACCACTTCCTGAAACACAGCCACCAGGTGGGCGGGCCCTGGAGGGGCTGTCCTGGCTGCTGGGCCCGGGCTGGGGACCGGCAGGCCTGACTGTCACAGCGGGTGGGAGTCCGGGGGCTCCCACGATGGGGGGCCGTGTGGGGGGAAGAGCTCAACTCAGGCCCGGGGGCGTTTCCCATGTGACACGAAGGGCAGGAAGGCGTGACATGGCCTGTGACTGTGGCCGCTGCTGTCGGCCACCCCTCCCACCCTCACGCCTTGCACTCACCTGGGTCCATGCCACCACCCTCCCCTACCATCCCTGGTGGCTCAGGCCTGGCCCAGCACTGTGGCCTGTCCCTGCTTGTGGCCTGCAGGTGCCACCTGTCCTCCCGCCACACACCGGGGTCCACGCCCAGGCGGTGGTCTCGGGCCTGGGTCCACCCACAGCCTCCGTCCACGGCAGTGGGAGTGAGCACACTGCTCTCCCTCGGCCCTTGTCAGGCTGGGGCTGCTCTCCTTGCTGGCGGGGGCTGCTGGCCGGGTCCTCCTGAGGTCTAGACGCACGGTTCAGTGCTTCCTCGTGTCCCGAACACCAAACTAACGAGGCCGCAGTGTGGCTGTGCGCAGTGCAGCCGTCCGGGCCTCTGTCTGCTCTGCGTTTTCTTTAGCTGGGTCTGACCGTGAACTCACTCTCTCAGGTAGACTTTGCAGACGTGGACGTGAGGACTCCGGTGGAGAGAAGGCGAGGAGAGGAGCAGCAGAGGCACAGGGACAGGCTGTACCGGGGGCGGGCCGAGCAGGCGGTGCGGGAGATGGCAGGTGGGGCTCTGGGGACAGGTGGCCCTGCCTTCCAGCCAGAGCCCCCTGTCCCACACCTGTGGTGGTCATGCCGCCCATCAGGACAGGGGGAGGGGACATGCATCCAGCTGGTCGTGCTGGTCCGAGCTTCGGCCCTGCACCTCTGGGCCTTGCTTGCTCTCGCCAGTCCCCTCCTAGAAGCCTAGCACTGGCCTTGCTGCCGCCGGCCCTTCCCGGGGGTGGCCGGGGCGTGAGGGGCGGGGACCCCTGCGGGGCGGGGCGCGGTGGTGCAGGGGCACTCCCTGGCTGGGGCGCGGCCGTGTCCTCGTGGCTCTCGCCCCCGTACCCCTGCGGGGCGGGGCGCGGTGGTGCAGGGGCATTCCGTGGCTGGGGCGTGGCTGTGTCCTCGTGGCTCTCGCCCCTGCTCCCTTCTGGGGTTTTGCCCGAGCCCCTGGGACGGGGGGACGTGACTGTGGCCAGCCAGCGGCGTCTCGCTCTGTGCAGAAATGGCGGAGGAGGCGCGACACTGCCTCACTGAGGTGGACAACTGCTTCCGGCTGCTGCTGCCCTTCGACTTCGGGCCTGGCCTGCCGGCCGCCCTGCCGGCCACGGCTGCGGCTGCGCCGGAGGAGGGCGCCCACGACCTTGGGCCCGAGGACGAGGCGCAGCCGTGCTGCAGCAAGACCCTGTGTGCCCGAGCTCGCCCCCCGGCAGCCACCGTCACAGGCGCCCCCTCGCAGAGTGCCGAGGACAAGGACGAAGATGAGGACAGCGACCAGGAAGCGTTCGTGCGGCAGCACGGGCTGGGCTCCCACAAGTACACGCTGGACCTGGAGCTCTCCTCAGGTAGCCGGCCGCTGCTGCTCGGCCCTGTCCCTTGCCACTGCCCGCTCAGGCTGTCCCCGCCCCAGGCCTCCTTGGCCGCGGGCCCTCGGGACACGTCTGTGAGTCAGGCAGGGAGCCCCAAGATTGGGTGGGGGGTGACGAGACAGGCCCACGGCCCTGCCCAGGGACCCTGTTGTGACGTGCAGGCAAGCGGCCAGGCTGAGTGACCTGGGAGCCTCTGGGGACCCCAGCAGCTCCCAGTTCTCCAGCCACATGGCAGACGGGCCAGTCTCCTGGTCTCACCCTGTGCGGACAGCTTCCTCACAGCGCCCCTCACCGGGTGGGAGTGGGTGGGTGGGGTTCAGGTATGTTCATGGGGAGGGCAGCTGGGCCCCGCAGCTGCAGGAAGACGTGGCCACCCCCAGGCACCGTGAACCCTGTGAGCGCCAGGGAACTGCCCGCTGCGTGGCTGGGGCAGGGAGCCGGCGGTGTGCAGCTGGTGGTGGGCATGGAGCGGGGCCAGGGCCCCCACCCTGGGAGCAATGGGGGTGGGGTCTTGGATGGCCGGGTCCGTCTGTCCCAGAGAAGCCTTGAGAATGTTGGGCCTCGCGTGGGGGGTGCACAGGGGTCAGGCTGAGGGTCTTTGCCAGAATCCTGAAGTGGCAAATCTCCTAGGGTGTCGGGTTTGGGGTCCCTGGCGATATGGGGTGGAGCAGTGTCGGGTTTGGAGAGTCAAGTTTGGGGTCCCAAGCGATGTGGGGTGGGGCAGTGTCGGGTTTGGGGAGTCAGGTTTGGGTCCCGGGCGATGTGGGTGGGGCGCAGGGGCCCTGCGCAGGCCTCTCTGGTGACGGCGTGCGCCTCCGTGCAGACGGCCTGAGGGTGCGTGAGGATGAGGACAACGGCCCTGTCCTGCAGTCCGCCCGGGACGCACTCAAGCTCATCCAGAACAAGTTCCTGCCGGCCGTGTGCACCTGGCTGCAGGTGGGCGAGTCCCCGTCACGGCCGCGGGCCGTCGTGGGCAGGGTCTGGGTGTGTGTGGGGCGGCTGGCCTGCCTGGTGACACGCCCCCTTGGTGGCAGCTCTTCACCCGTGCAGGGACTCAGGGCGGGCACTTAGAGGCCGCCATCGACCTGAAGGCGGAGCTGGAAGCCGCCCTGAGGAAGTCCAGGGAGCTGGCCATCGAGCCCGAGGGGGTGCGCAGGACGGAGGTGAGTGACGCGGGGCCTGGGTGAAGAGGCTGCGGCCCCTCGGGTCCGAGCAGAACCGCCGGGCACCCGAACCTGCCTGCCACTCTCAGCCGTGGGCTGCAGGTCCAGGCCGCAGACAGAAGGGCTGGGGCCATGGCCCTGGTCGGACAGGAAGTCCCTCGGCCCCACAGGAAGGCATTACGCAGAACCCCCCAGGGGCTCAGACAGCACCTCCAGATCTTGGGGGTCCCGTCTGCTTGCCATCGAGGCCATGGGCCCAGTGCCTGCAGGGTGCTGAGATCGGATATGTCCTTGAGGCGGACGCAGAGGGCAGTGCCCAGTCTGGGGAGGTGGGCCCCGCACTCGTCCCGAGTAGGGCAGTCAAGTAGGTGAACCAGGGACCGGTGCCCGCTTGGGAGGACGCCCTCGGTCACTGTTGGCCGGGCATGTGTCTCTCAAGGCGGAGCTGGTCTGAGCAGGACAGCCCCGAGGGGCTGCTTGGTGGTGGGGGTGAAGGATGCTGGTACCCTAGCCGCGGCGTCGGCCCCCTCTGTCCTGCCTGTGCTGGGAGCTGGACCGGTGCCAGAGGGCCTGAGGGCTGGGTCCTCTGCAGCTGCCCACGGGGAGTGCCCGGGACAGTGGGTGCCCCTCTCAGCCAGACCCTGCCCCAGGGCGCCCAGACCCTGGCCATGCCTCCCAAGGGCCGGGCCAGGGGGGCCTGGGGTGGACAGAACAGTGTTCCTCGCTGAGGAGACCAGCGTGGCCGACCCCTCGGGTCCTGGCACCGAGTGTCCCTGTCCCCGTGGAGCAGCCAACTGCCCCTCAGCAGTGCCCTGCGGCCCGCAGGGGCAGGGGCGGGGGCGGGGGTGGCGGCCTCACCTCCTGTCCTCATCTTGTGGATGTGCGGCCTCTGGGGACCGGCAGAGGGCGATCTCGTCCTTCTCTGAAACCCCGCTAGTGGGGAAGTGCACCGCAGGCCGGCACAGCGGCTGAGGCGGCCGCCCCCATGGGCCCGTTTCCCGGCTCTGCCAGGTGTGACTCCGCTGAGACGTCTTCATCCGTGGCTCTGACCGGCAGCCTTCTCCCGGTGCAGGCAGGTCTTCTGGGGTCCCGAGGGAGGTGACGCGTGTGGGCGGCTCGTGCTGGCCCTGGGCAGGAACTGCTTTCTGTTTTAGCGGACGTGGGTCATAGCATCGGAGAGAGGCTGGGCCTGTGAGACGCGGTGGAGGGAGTCGGGGTTCCCCCTTGCGTGACCCGAGGCCCAACCACTTTGTGAAGGCCACTCTGTGGCCGTGTTGTAGGAGCTAGGGACACACCCTCTGGCTCCTGTGCACCCAGGCAGTGGCCCCCCAGGCAGCGGGCCCCCAGGAAGCGGCCCCCATGTAACAGCCCCCCAGGCAGCGGGCCCCCAGGAAGCAGCCCCCAGGCAGCGGCCCCCCAGGCAGCGGCCCCCCAGGCAGCGGGCCTTGTCCTGCCAGCCCTGGGCTCAGCAGGGCTGGCAAGACCAGAGCTGGCGGCAGAACTTTCCAGATGGCCCGATGCTGCCTGGCCCGCGTTCCCGTCACAGCTGCAGGGCCCTCAGGGGAGGGTAGCCTCCCACGTGGCCCAAGTGAGCCCTGCGCGGCCTCCGGGGTCCTGGCTCTGGCTGCAGTCATTGGATCACTGGAAGCTGTACCTGGCAGGTGGGCGGCAGCCAGGACGAGGCCTCCTTCGGGCAGGCGGCTGCCTGGGAGTCCCTTGGGGACTGAAGGGGCTCAGGCTCTCCGTGGAGGAGGGCGCTGCCCAGGGCCTGCTTCCTGCGGTGGGGCAGTGCCTACCGGTCTGGGCTCTGGCCGCTGCCACCCCCGTAGGAACCCAAGGGCCCCCATCAGCGCCTTGGCCGCCTCTGAGCTCACTGTGACTCAGACCCTCACCAGCAGAAACCCCGGCGCCCCCCCACACCTGTGTGACCAGTCATGCACAGGGCCCTCGTGCCTCCTTGCAGGCCCCATGGAGTGTCCAGGCCCGAGCATGCAGTATGGGCGGCTCCAAGCTGCTTGTGGCAGGGTCAGTGTTGGGGGGTGGGCTGACGTTGGTGGAGGAGATGCCACCATTCATTATGTTCATTATGGAGGCTGGACAGGCTGCCCAGGGGAGGGGCTGCCCAGGGTGGTGTCTATGTCCACTGACGTGGGACAACAGGGCAAGCCAGGAGAGGGCCAGTGAGTGTGCCCCGCGCTGGGCAGGAGCCCTGGCCAGCCCTAGCCACGGTCAGGTAGGGTGCAGGGAGGAGCTGCTGGGCTGGCTCTGTTGGCGGTGGGCACTCTGCGGGCGCTGCCCCAGAATCCTGGGAGACTGCTTTGCGCCCTGGGCTGCAGGTCACGTGTCTAGGGCCGCCGGGCTGAAGGGCAGCGCCAGCTCCGCGAGCCCCTGTCCCAGAGCAGACACGCCGCCAGCAGGCGCCTGGCAGTGGGGGTTAGCGGGTTGCTGCTTGCTCGTGTCCACGCGTGGTGCCAGGGGCAGGCCCCCGCTCCGCGTCCTGATGCACCATCTGCCTGGGCCGTGATGTTGATCCCGTGGGTTGTGACTTAAACCTCTGAGCGCTCCATGCTGATGGGTGACAGACCGAAACAGACAGGGTGCTCCTGGTTCAGACAGGCCAGCAGCCCAGGCGCACGGGGGTGGGAGCCGGCCTTGGGCCCCGTGGGTGTCTGGCGGGGGCAGGTGGCGCCTCTGTGGTGTGCTCCCTCTCTGTCAGTGTTTGCCATGGGTTTCTGCGGACTGTTTTCCTTCGACGTAGATGTTCTGTCTTCAGAGAATGTTTCAGCGGGTTTAAGTCGGTGTAATGGTGTTTTACGGGGTGTCTGTCTCGGCCCGGCGGGAAGCGGCTAGTGTAAATCTTGAGCAGATCGATACGGGGCATCGTGGGTGGATTTAGTCCCCAGTCCTGCTGCTCTCGGCGAGGGGCGGCAGCCCACACTGCGACTGGCACAGAGGACGCCGAGGGAAGTCCTCTGAAAACTCATCGCCGGCCGTTTAATGACGTGGCCGAGCCCAGCAATTATTCGTGTTGCGTAATGAACACAGTAGTTATTCTCCACCAATCTCTAAGTTAGAGAAAACTGACTTTGAGTGTCAGTCTGTTCACCGTAAGTGGCACGTGGCTCTCTTAGGGATGGGGATGCATACAAGCGGCTGAGATGCCCACGCGTGTTCTCAGCAGTCACGTCCTGGCGTGCGGCCACGTGGTCTCCACGGGGCCCTTTCTGGAGGTGCCAGCCCCACCGTCCCCTGTGCCGGCCCCTCCCACAGGGCCCCACGTGCTGCTGGAGCCCACAAGCCGCTTCCTGAAGGTGAGAAGGACAGAGCAGGGCCCCCAGGGAATGAAGTGCTGGCTGCGTTGGGCACCCCAGGGAGGCAGGAAACTAAATCAGCGACATGGGGACCTTGTACTCGGCAGGGCCAGTAAACAACCTTCCTGGTGACGCGGCCCCTCCATCACGCCGAAGGCCAAGCCGCCTGGCTGGGGCTCAGCGGAGGTGGTCCGGCGGCTCTCAGGCCCGGCCCGCCGGCCCCGCTGCGGACACCTGCGTGACATAGCCTTCCCAAACGGCCCCCTTGCTCTGAACAGCCACACACGTCGTCCTCCTAATTTTAGAAGTAGCTGCTGACCCTTTCACGGGGGGGAGATGAGTCTGGCGGCAGTTGTGTGAGCCGCGGCCTCCTCTGTAGGCCTGTTGGCCCGATGAGGGTGCCACCTGCAGTGTCACATGTGGCAGCACCTGGAGCCCTGCCTCCTAGCACGGGGGGCGGGCCGAGCCGGAGAGCTCGGGTGAGTCGTGGCCGGCAGGGCTTCCTCTTGTCCAGGGCTGGGCAGCAGGTGTGATGTCACCTGGGGGGGGGTGGTGCCCAGGTGAGGGCCTGCCTGTGCCCTGCACCACTCACACCAGCCGCCAAATCCAGCGCACGCCTCAGTGCGGTCCACGTGGACCGCAGTACAGACTCTGGCCAGCGTCGCCTGGGGCGGAGGGCTGCGCCCTGACCTGTCTGCGGGCTGCCCACCTGGACCCAGCAGGGCCGGCTCCTCCAGGAACCCTCCTCCCGCCCCAGCAGGCCCAGGCGGCCGGAGCAGCTCCCGTGAGGCCTGCGGAGAGCCTGGGCCCAAGGCCGGTCATGCAGACGGTCACGCAGAAGGGAGGTTGGGGCGCCTGCTGAGCAGCCTTCTCCGCTGCGCCTTCGGGAGGCCAGCGCGTGCTCCGCGGCCTCGTCCACGTCCACCAGGCTCCGCTTGGCCAGTGGCACGGGCCAGCCCAGCCTCGCTGTCCTCTGCAGCGGCCCCACTGAGAAGCAGGGACGACACTGGCGGGCCATTTGCGGGCCTTGGGGAGCGCATTAGCATATAAATAGCCGCGGCCGGCCAGCACAGCTGAGCACGGTTAATTTTTAGTTTATGCGATAGAATGGGGTTTTAAATGCATAGCCATCAAGCGCGGGAGACAAATGCGGGTGGGAGCTCACTGTCTGACGAGGCCCTACATCATTTTTTTTTAAAAGGGAAACACACATAAACTGAACAAAAGTGATTTCTTGGGTGAAAAGTAATTGAGATTGCGCACCAAGTTAATTAGATCGTGCGGAATTTATTTACGGGCCCAGCTGCACCTCAGGCCGGTGGCGGCCCTTGGGCTGCTCCACTCCCGGCCCTTCCCAGGTGATTAGCAGCCTGGCCACCCCTGCTCTGCACACGGACTGCAGTGTGTGTCTCGGACGCTTTATTGCTTGTTTAATTATGATCGCGGAGGCACATTTTTCTAGATCCTCTTAACTGGTGAGAATCCGTGCGAACCGCAGCAGGCCGGCCTCCCCGAGCCTCCACAAGTGCGGGGGGCATCCAGTGGGCCACAGAGCGCTGACCGCCTGCCTGGGCCTTCACCTGGAAGGGGGGGGTGGCGCCCCGGGGTCGGCCTGGTGTGACCTGGTGTCCCCGGACGGACGGACGGCGGGGCTGGCTCGTGTCCTTGCCGTTGGGAACTCCGCTCTCTGCAGGCTGCTCCGGGACCGGTTTACAAGTCGGTTGGCTGGAGGACGACCACCCTCCCCCGGCCTCCTTGGGGACTCCCAGCACCCTCGGGTGTCCACGCACCCCTGGCCCGGGGCTGCCTTTTGACCCCATCTGCGACCTTCGACCTCAAGGGTGGGTTGGATCGCTGCTGCCTCGGGCTCCTGGACAGGCCCCCAGCTGGGCCGCACCCCCAGCGTCTGGAGAGGGTGTCCCGCCTGGCGGTGGCCCTGCTTTCCTCTGCGCTGAGCAGTCACCTGGGTCACACAGGTGTCACAGCTCCTGACCTGGCGCTCTGGAGGTCAGCGCCACCGCCCTTCCCCGACGCACAGGTAGCCGTGCCGCGGGTCTGAGGCGAGCCCACCCGTGAGCCCCTGCCCGAGCTCGGGCCGCGAGGTCCGGCTCTGCCACGCAGTGGCACATGGGTGCCCAGCCCCAGTGGTCACCATTCGTGGGAGGCGCTGGGCTGTTGCGGCTCCGCGGGTGGCCCGAGCTCTGGCGGGAGGCCTGGCTGCCGGGCTTCACGGCCGAGCACGCCCCGGGACATGGGTCCTGGTGCCACCGGCCCTGGCCGGCTGATTTAAGAACAAAGGGGCCCGGGCTCTGCGTTGACCCCCAGGAGGAAGCACCCAGGGGGAGGCGGGCATAATCCCTAATAGTTAGCTAAGCAGCTGAGTGTTTTTTAGGAAATGGAAATTTAATAAAAGTCTCTGGTGAAATTCGATGGCGAGAGCAATAAGCATAATATTTTATGAAAATGACCCCCATATTTAAAACCTGGCACTGTGTGTTCTGCATTGTAGCACCCAGCCCACATCTACCTTTTAGGAAATTAAAACACATAAATTCTGTTTAGTGTTTGATGCGCACGGCACAGGCCGGGAACCGTAATGCCCTTAAACCTTGGGCTGCTTTCCACCTTTCATAAATTCCTGGGCAGATTCTATACAAAAATAATTTTCAGGTCTGCGGCTCATTGTTATTCAAACGTGATTGATTGTCGTCATTTGCTCAGCTCAGGAGCTAAGTGCCCCTGTCATTTCCAAAGAGTGTAATTGGGACGTTTCACAGGTCAGCGGTGGGGACAGGCTTCCCTTTTGATCAGTGTTCGACTGATAACAAAAATCGCAGTTTCCAGTGATTGATGCCTCGCACACCTCCACACTGCGGGGCCAGGGTCGTCCCCAAACAAAGTGCATCTGCATCTGATTATGCCTCTGGCGGTGGGCGGCGTCCGGTGCTTTTTTTTTGGGGGGGCCTGCGGGCCGCAGGGCGGTGACTTGGTGGGGCTGGTGACTTGATGGGACGAACTCGTAGCCGCCCCGTGGACAGTGGCTGGGCCTTGGGTTCATGGCTGCGTCCGGCTGTGCCTCTGCCTCTGTGGGCTGCGGTCGACAGTGAGCTCGGAGGCGAGGGCCTGTGTCGGACAGTTTGGTTTTCAGTTTGTCCCTCAGCCTTGCTGGGCCCGTCGCTGGTGTCCATCCAGGAGGGTCCCCGTCCGGACCTTCCCCTCAGGCGGCAGCATGCCACTCCTGGCCTGAGAGGGCTGGGGGCAGGAGGCAGCACCCGATTTGGCCGAGCCGGCCTGGAGTGTCCCCTGTGGGGTGGGCAGTGGGCGGGGCCTCTGGATGCCTGCCCGCTGTGACCCTCTCTGGAAGGTGGGTCCCTGGGAGTCCTCACGCCCTGTCCCGCAGGTACTGGGGCACTGAGAACGTGGGGTGGGGGGCAGGTGGGAGAGAGAGCCGAGGCGACCCAGTGCCTTCTGAGTGGGGCTGGAGGCCTGACTCCTGCTGCTCGTGTCCTGGGACGTCGGGGTGAGTGTGGCTATCGGCCACCCAGGGCGGAAGCCCCCGCTAAGCCCCCTGACCCTGTGAGGGGAGTCCTCGTGCACAGGGGCCCTGCACTGGCCAGGGGAAAGGCGGGGTGGCGGGTCCCGGCCTGCTCTTCCCTGTGCAGTCCCGAGGCACCCCAGCTCTGCTGGTCGCCCCAGACCCCACTTCACCATGCTCACCTGGGTGGGGGAGGTGGCCTCGTCTGAAGCAGACTCTTCGGTGGCTTTTTAACACCATTGTTAAGGACAGAATATTCCAGAAGCGCTGTGGGCACAGGCACCACCAGAGGCTGGGTGGGGACTGGACCAAGAGCAGGGTGCAGTTCTTTGGCCTACGCTGGACGGGCCTGCTGCTGGGCCTCGAAGGAGGGGCCAGCACCTCCCCCAGGGCGCCGTGCCTCTTCCTGGCTGAGCCGCGTCTCATCTGCCTGTGAGGCTTCGAAGCGGTGCCTGGTCCACCATGGTGGAGGCTTCAGGTGGCCGGGCGGGGGACACATGAGGGTCTGAATGGAGATGGGACGGGCTTGGGGACAGTCCAGGGTGTCCAGCCTGCCTGACGCTTCCACCCCTGGCCAGATTGCTCCACAGGGACCAGAAGTGTCTGGGCCTTTGCCTGCTGTCACACGCGGGTCTGGGGGTGTCTCCACAGACGGCGGCCCTGGAGGACCAGGACGAGGACGAGGACGAGGACGACTTCGTGGAGGTCCCAGAAAAGGAGGGCTACGAAGCCTGCGTCCCCGCCCACCTGTGGCCCGAGGATGGTGAGCAGCTGGACGGGGGCTTTGGGAGGGTTCTGCTCGGGACACCGCCGAGCGGCTGTGGCCTCACGTCCAGCGTCTGTGGCCGGGGATGCTGAGGAGCTGGCCGTGGCGGGAGGTGGTCTGAGGTTCTCTGAGGCCCCGCCTTTGCTGGAACTGTGACTCTCCCTTTGTGCCCTGGGTACTCACTCCCTGGCCCGGGCCCTCCCCAAGGTTCACCCTGCAGTGGACTCTTGCTGTCCCCCGGCCAGGCAGGCCCTACTGCCCGCTGCTGTGGATGCAGCCAGGCTGTCCACACAGCGGGACCTCGGAGGGCCCCCAACTCAACACACAGGCCTGCGGTGACCTCCACACCCTGACGAGGGCCAGCCCTTCTGGGACTGAAGTCTCAGCCCTTGGCGGGGGGCAGGGGGCAGGTACCCCAGGACAGACCAGGCGCATGGGGTGGCAGGGAGTCTGTGGCAGGAGGCTGCAGCTTCTCCATGGGGGGGCACAGCCCCATAGTCCTCTAGGCTCCCTTGTTCCCCGATCGCCGTTTTTTGGGGTGCCACGAGTGAGGCAGCGTTCCTTATCGTGTGTGGTGTCATAGATGGGGCGTCTAGCCCAGGATGTGTGTCTGCTCCGACAGGGAGTGGTGCCAGCCTCAGGGCTTCCTGTCCAGAAATGCCTTTTTTCCCAAACTCTCCCCTCCAGGGAGAGGGGTGCGGGCCACGGGCCCGCACTGATGTCTTGTCCAGGGGAGGCCAGCGCAGATGAAGCCTGGGGCCATGCGGCACGAGATGCCGCTGGTTTGCGTGTGAGCGTGTAGGACGAAGAACTTAGACCGTCAGGCACCTCGAGTGTGAAGACGCCGCCGTCAGGGTGTCCTGGCGGATTAGCACAAGCAGAGTCTAGGACCCCCACTCGTG